GAGGTTTGGTAATTCAAACCCAATTCCAACATCAGTGACATACTAGGTTATGTGATTTCACTGATCAACCATTTGCATAGACAGTTTCAAATTTTACAAATCAAACCTGGAAGTTCCATTGTTCCCCAAATTCAACTATAATAGTGAATATCAGAACAAAACAATGGTTAGAATTCTAATTTGATATCATACTTCATAAAAAATACCAACAAAAAATTACCATTCTAAACCTGACTATTGCACCTACCTTGAAGCATCTCCACGAATGATCATTGATACTACAGTTTGATGGACTGAAATAGTAGCATTGCAGACCACCCATCGGTCCCACATGAGGCAAGAGGGAGAGCAAAGAGCAGAGGAAGTGAGAGAGAGAGAGAGAGAGAGAAGAGGGAGGGAGGGAGGGAGGGAGGGATAAGTTTTACCGTATATATATGACAGATCTGGCAAGGGACTTTATGTATAATCATGCACTAATGCATTAATAATCAGATTTTAAATGAGGTAAATGGGATATTCTTGTTGGTTTTGATTCACTCTGTGTCCAAAATACAAAAGCAGGATACCAAAACCAAAACCTGATAAAAAAAACCTATGGTTGGTCAGGCCTATTTTACACCCCTACTTGCCTCGGTATCTCGACCGCCAATAATACATGGGCAGTTCGAGTACATAGACCTCGCACTCGCGCTTATCCTTACACTCGTCCAACCACCAGCACTCATGGGAATGATGCTAGGTGCCTATGCCTACTCACAATGATCACAATTAACAGTTGCAATGGGAAGTCACTCTCTTGTGACTGGCCCGTAGCTAACTGATGAGTTGTGACACCATATTGCTGGTCTGTCCAATCATCCCTCCATGTATACTAAGGCCTATAAACATTTGTCTTCTCAAGAAGAGAAACAAACTTTATTCTTGCCTAAGATGGATTATACCCTTCCAATTAGCTCCTGGATTAGGAAACTTCCATCTTCCCCATATTTGATTCGCTACGAGTTTGAAAGTATTTCTGTGAATAAACCCTATTAATCAGCATCAGATTTCAATTCCTCACCAATTAAAGATAAATCCATTCTACACTCAAATGCATTTGCAAACATGGTTTTTGAACATCCTCATGGCCCTTTAAGGACAAAATTGTAGCTTCAACCCAAGATTCCGAGCGATCTGATCCTTAATAATGCCCGTTGTACGAGATCGATGTCGATGCGACCGCCGAACTATCATAACCTGTGACATCTAAGATCATCGGTACAGCTGCCTCCTTCAGCACATACGGAGACCATACTTGCACCGACATAAATTCTACATATCATACAATTTCCTCTGTGTCGTTAATCTTCTGGCTTATAGGTACTTTTCACTGGTGGTCTCTGGTTACTCCGTTGGCTAAAGATTCTCCCAAAACTGGCTTGAGAAACACTCAATCTACGCTAGCCTTTACCGTTCATAGTGCTTAGTGATAATCCTCCCGTTTGCAGGCAGAATGGAGATTTCTACATCATAATCAATGATTGTGAGAGAAGCCACATTAAACATTGTATTTTTTAAAACTCATACATGATGTGGCAATTTATAGCTCTAAATTTTGAAGTTTTGATGATTGTTCCACCCAAAATAGACCTAGGTGGTGGCTCTCTTCATTTCCTTCATGGAGATAGCTTATCTCTATTTTGGTGGGACATTGAAGCATGTATATCATATCCTTACTGAAAATAGTAGCTCCTTTTGCAGTCTTTTCGCAACTTCCTATGCGAAGGGTGCCACTTGCTGGGGTCAAATCTCTAAAAAGTTAATTTTTCGTCAGCTCCCTCTCTTTGCCTTGAGTATAAGCAAGTTACTAAGGATTGGTAAACTATTTAATGTAAAAAAGTTAAGCAAAGAGAAAGAAAACATAGAAAAAATTAAAACAGTCAGTTAGAGGTATTTGAGTGAAAAAGCCTTGCATATTCACAAAAGCAGAAGCATCAATAGTGGTAAGATGAACAACACATACATCCGAAGTGGTTGTGTACTAACACATCTCTAATAATACTAACATTGAGGGTACCAAATCCTTTATATTTTGTCATCACTTGAAATACCATTAAACCTCTCCATGACTACAGTTACAAAATCCTTTTGCCATTATCTATACGGTTAAAAGCATCATAAACACTCACTTAAATCATCAACAAATACTTAGCTCTGCTACTAAATTAAGTATCTAAGATTAATCATTTGTCAGCTTAGTTTGGTCCTGAAACTTCCTCTTTAACTTCGCATTCGCTGCCTGTTTGGTAAACGTATTACGTTTTCAATTTATATTACACAAAATTTTATAACTGGTTTTTTTATTTTTTTTTATTTTAGGAAAAAACATAATACAAAGCGGTTTGGTTAGACAAAATATTTTCTAAAACCAATTTTAAAAATATAAAAAGGTGGAAATGGCAAGTGCTTGCGGTGTACGGTGGGTGGTGACGGACGGTGGTTCGGAAAATGACGGCGTAGTGGTTGGGGTTCGGTCGCGTGGAGAGCGGTGGTAGGAAATATGGTGGCAGGTGGTGTGGTGATGGTGGCTAAAGTACGGTGGTGGCAAGTGGCGGGTGGTGTGGGTGGTGGTGCGACGGGGCGGGGAAAGACGATGGTGGAAAGTGGCGGGATGTGGGCGCGGAAGACGGTGGTGGAAAGCGACATTATGACCGCGATGGGTGGATGGTGGTGGCAGTGGTGGTGGTGGCGGATAGGTTGGTGTGGTGTGAGTGGGTGGGTGACGTGTGGCGGTGGCGGCGAGTGGGGGCGTGGGGTGGTGGTGGCGTGGCGTGGCGGTGTGGTGGCGTGGCGAAGTGGTGGTGGGTTGGTGGTGTGGAAGACTGTGGTGGTAGCGGTGGTGGGGTGGCTGGCGAGGTCGGTGGTTGTGGTGGCGGGTCGTGGTGGAGATGGTGGTGGGGGGTGGGTGGTGGTGGTGGAAGACGGTGGTGGAAAATGGTGGCGGGTGGTGGCTAGTGTTGGGTGGGAAAAAAAAAAAAACTGAAAACTCAAAACGGAAAAACATTTTTTGAGTTTATATTTTTTGGCCAAATTTATAAACTGAAACCATTAATTTATAAATCAAAAATTTACCAAGCAAGTTTTTATTTGAGTTTTTTAAATTTTTGTAAATATAAATTAAAAACTGAAAATGTAAAGTGTTGCCAAACGGAAACTTTTACCAGATGCTTCTCCTGAGCTGTATCACATAAGTAAACATACATAACAACATTAATCACATTCTAGCTCAAACAAATCCAGTATTTGGAAATATAAGTTTACATACATAAGTTTGCACCACAATTTAATTTCAATAAAAAATGCCTTAACCACGAACACATTTTCTAAATTAACCTAAATTCATTTCAATTGCAAAAAAATTGTTAGTCACCAAATATGAGATCATGCCTTGCACATAAAATTAAATTTACACAATGTCTAGAACTCTAGCATATACACAAATTTCTTAACTCATCCTAGCAACTAAAAGTAAACATACTCAACATAAAATCTAAGAACAAATTTATGCACTTACATATTTATAGCATGTGAATTTATAAAAAATGAAGTTTTGGGGTGTGAAAACCTTACTCGAAGCAAGTCTTTATTAATAGAGCTGAAAGGAGTACAAAGAGCTTACAAGCTTGCACTCATCAACAACACCCTCAATGTCGATGATGCCACTTTTTATCATTTGTGTAGTTACCAGTAATGGTCAAACCATTCGAACTTATGTTCACCTAGTTTATTTTTATATTGCTCTTCTTGTTTATTACATTTTTGTCTTATTTATCTCAGATTCTCAGTTTTGTTCTGTGTGTGCGTGGTAAGTGAGCAATTTTATTACTAGAACAGAGAGATGTAATGAGGCTTTGGACATGACCCTAAGTGTCTGTAAAAAATAAACCTTCGAGGCAACACAACTCTTAGGCAACATAAAAACAGGATCTAACCAAACAAAGAAAGTAAAATGCTCACAGCTCGAGGGACTAGGCTAAAGCACAAAAACCAAAATATAGATAAACAAACCGCACTCATCCAGAACACTTCTTCTCACAAGCCAGAGGCTCAGTAGTAGGCATATATAACTCAAGAACTATACAATAAACAAATAGAACCATTATCCCACGTCTCCTTATATCAATTAGAGTGTGAACTCTTACTAGAAGGCTTTGGGCATGACTTCTTTTCCCTTGCAATTTGTTTGGTTGAGTTTTCAGAATCTGCTTTTGCAATTTTTTTTTTTCAAAAAATTACAAATTAGTTTGACAAAAATAAACCCCAAACTAGTTTATTTTTGAATTTTCTAAAATTATTTTCGTCCCCAAAAAGAGAAAACTATATGAAAATAATATTTTTCTTTTCTTTCACCAAACTAGTTTTTGTAAATTTTCAAAAATAGATTTTGAAAACACAACCAAACATTAGAATTTGAATTTCTCTATAAGTTTCCTTTTGTTCTCATCTTTGAAAGGAGTGGCATCCATAATCCTTTTAGTTTCATCCTTGGCTTCTTTTTTTTTTTATTATTATTTTTTTTATTATTAGCAATAAAAGGAGTGTTTTGTGGCTAGAGGGCCATCCATCTCTCCTCGAAGCTTGTATTCTGTAGTTCTTGTGTGCTAAATAAAATCCTGTCTTTGTATTCTCCTCAGGGATCTTGTTTTCTCCTTTGTGATTGTACTTCCTTTTGTGGCTGCTTATTTGGTATTAGAGCAGTGGAAGCTTTAACATCTGTCTTTCTAGTTTTTCCAACTTCAAGTTATAATCCATTTCCTTTTTCTACTCTTGGACTTAACACATAAAGAGTATGCTTTGTGACTGTCGCTATTTGTGGATCATATCATCTGTAGCATCTTCCTTTTAAGAAATACTCACATCTTTCCTCTCTTTTTTTTCCCCTTTACTCTTCATCTCAACCCCTGGAATCTCATTGGGAACACATGCTGATAACACATCAAAAATATTTGATGAAGTTGGATAAGTTGACGTAGAGGTCACCTCAAGCTTTTTCTTTGGGCAAGCATGCATGACATCCTTACCATTTCTCTTTTTGGCCTTCTGCCCATTCACTGGGTTTTGTTTCCCCTTTATCCTTTTTAACTAACCATTCTTGTTTGGTTGAGAAACTAGAAACCATGAGCTTTTGGTCAATGACTAAAAGCCTCGCACTCATCACATTTTTGGGGTTTCCTTGACACTTCAACTTTAATTTGATAAGGGTCCTCATAACCTAAATTAAGTATGAAGGAATTTGGAATCTCCTTATTTGCTTAAATTTCAATACACACGCTTTGGCAAAATAAGCCTACAATGAGATCGAGTATACTGCCAATCACATTCGCCACATAGCTGAAACCATCTTCTATCCAAAGCTTAAATGGAACATCAAAAAACTTCCCGCAAACCAGCACACTAGAGAATTCACTCCTAAATAATTTCATACCAGGGTGACATCTTTTTACAATTGCATACATCTCAACTTCCACAATTCAAGTATGTTTGTCTTACTATATCATGTTAAGTATCTTCCAAACATTTTCTATTATAAGAATTGGTTGGTCTAATAGTTCTTACATTTCACCCTTGGCGTTGTAATATACATTATCAAATTTTATTTATCAAAAAAAAAAAATAAAAAAAATATACATTTTCAAATTTCTCTCATTAATGATTTGACTATAGATAACAAAATGGTACCCTTTTAAAATCTATGGGGTTGTGATATTCATTATTTTTAATTTATGTATGTTTTTGTTAAGTTATATTTCATCTATTTGATTGTAGTCTTATATATTCAAAACCTCTTAATCTAGAACTGTTCTCTACTCTTAAAACATTTATTCTACTATAATTTCGTTGATCAATACTTTTAACAATTAACATATCTCATGTAATCTTGTCTTCCAACATGTCTAGCCACTTCATTCATTAATTGCAAAGAAAACATTCAATAATTTATAAGCTTGTAACAGTTTCATTTAACCCAAAGATTCACATGCTTGGAGAGTGAACTTTTAGTTGCAATATGTGTATATATATTACACAGATATCTACAACATACCCATTTATGTACATTGTATTTATGAAAAAAGTAGTGATTTACAAACAGAAATTATAACTAGAAATTCACTAGTAGAACATGGCATGTTAGTTTCTAATTATTTCATAAAAAATATCCATCATCATTGTTATTATTTTCTGAAGTAATAGTGCCGTGTCATTCTAGTTAGAAATTCTTTTTATGAAGCATTCCCAGTGAAATAAATCACTGTATTTGCTTTGGCCCACTACCTTGTTGTACAAGACTTATTTGACACATTCCAACTTCTATAAAAATATGAAACATACATTCACTTCCAGAAAAGCACCTAGATGTTATATCCATATGGTTTCCTGAATACTTCACTCACCTTCTGCGAAGTCCAAGTGATTAAACTCTTGATATTGGATTATAGAATTCCACTGGTTGGTGTTGAAGTTGTTACCTTCAAACTGGTTTGTACTACATAATTATTCGATTCAGTTCTGTCGTCGCTCCATTGATCATCTCTGTCAGTTACCTTCTTCTTGGGTTGGATGATATTCTCATACTGAGTTCCTTCAGTGGGCTGCTTTCTCTTCTGTCCATTGATTGAATTGTCAAAAGGTGGGACCGAGTATTGTGAATAGTTTGTGTCAGAATAGCCTTCACAGACTGTAGTAGAGTTTTTGCTAGCTTCAAAGCTTATGCTAGAAAACCGTGTCTATGGAAGACCCAATGATTAATGGTAACACCAGGCAATCTCTGTACAGAAATTCTCTGACCATTTCAAGTTCGGCATTGACGTTAGTCCGGAAAACGTTTTCCGCCCAAATAGGCTTCTTTTCCATTGACCACTGAAACATTTTCCGTTGACTTTTGTTTTCCGTTATGCCAAACACCAGCGCAAACAAATGGAGTGTTAACAAGAAGTGGACGTTCTTATGAATCACTAGATCCAACATGAGGGCTTAACCTTCCTTGCCACTTCTTGCATTGGCATAGTCTACAACAAGCTCTAAGCAGCTCTTCTTCTCATGAGTTTCCATTAACACATGCAGACACAATACACATTTCATATATCAACTCAATACCAGCACAAGAATATATACTCCCTCCGTCCCAAAATAATGGTCCCTTTTGGGGAATCCAACTTTTTTTGGTAGTGCAATTATTGCATTTGAAAAAAGTTGATTTTCCAAAATTATCCTTTTGATAGTACATTTTTTGAGAATATCAATACATAATTGTACTTTTTATGTTGTTTATTAATTTAAAAGAAGGGTAAAATAGGAAATTTATATTATTTTTGTACTTGATTTTTTAAGAAGGACTAATATTTTGGGACAATAAAAAATGGAATAAGGGACTAATATTTTGGGACGGAGGGAGTATAATTTTTCTACTTTTTTACACTAAGCAGAGATTGATCGAAATGCTTTTCTTCCTAACAGTTAGGTGATCGGGTGGCACTGCACTGCACTACCACCGCTACCATTACCTTCACCACCACCATCACCATTGCGGCCACCACTGTCGCCCCACCACCACCACTAATACAACCATTAGTTTATTGATTTCAAGGATGCAGCCAAACATAGGAAAGTGTTTTCTCTGAAACTTTCCCGCTGAAGCAAATGGAACGTAAATGAAAGCTAGATATCATGCAAAACAACATACCCTCATGCATCTTTTTTGCTTGGAAGTCAGCCTCGTTGCTTCAGGCAATCTGTACTCCTGCATGTTCCTGTCCGTCTTGATTCCTCTTGGAGGGCGTCCTCTATAGAACACCAGAGCTTTTTTCACTCCAAATATCCTTGCTCCACATGAACTGAGAATTGGTTTATCAGTTCCCGCAGCCTTCCAATAACCTGAAGCTGCCATCCTATTAGGCCTCACTCCGTTGGGCTACTTTCTATCCCTTGGGGTGAAGAAGTACCATTCCTCCTCGCCAAACAAAGCTTCCCTGTTTAAAAGAGAAAAAAAAAATTTATTTTTCGCTTAGTTAGTTTGACCATCAAAAGAATAAAAGAAGATTTCTAGAACAAAGTGTTGGGTGCAACAACACAGACTAGGTAGCTCCCAAGGTTTGCACTTGTAGAGATCAACTTCAGCAATGATAGCTGCTGGCAGTGAACTTGAGGTTGCTTTGTTTCTCAAATAGTGCACGATGAGCTCCTCGTCAGTTGGGTGGAACCTAAAACCAGGTGGAAGTTGAATATTTGAGTTGGGTTTTTCTCCATGGAAGAGGGCTTTCTTCTTTTTGTTGGAGGAACCTAGGATGAATTAACTACCGATGTTATCAAGTGAGGTCGATGTGAATTAGAGAGCAGTGTACTGGTTATATTATATATGGTGTACTCATGCAGGTTAGGTCATTGATGTTGGCTAATTAAATAGGATTAAATCAATTACATGTGGGTGGTTTTATGAAATAGAAAGGAAAGCAACCCTTTGTCTTAACTATAGACTTATTTGTGTGGACAATGATGGGTCTTTGTATATACCATATTTAGAAGTGTGAGATAGTATTGTAGCCTCTTGCTAGAATTATGACCAGTATAATGATTGTGGAGATTCAATATGAAGTCTACTAATTGAATGGCTTGGATCATCTAAGTATAACCAATCTATGACTGATTTTGAGTTGGCGCAGCATGGAAGTAATGTGTGAAATGTGACAATGTGGTCAGGTTGCATTATGCTTCCATAAAATAAAAATTGAATGGCTTGAATTATGACCAGTACCATGTTTGTGGGAAATAATTTTCAGTTGGATCGAAGTACTATGTTTGTTTTTCAGAGTCGATCAGAAATTTGATGCTAGCCTTGATTTATTCTCTTATGTTACATATATGAACTGACTGATCAAACATCTTCCTGAGAGAACTAGGAGTTATTTTCTGCATTCTTTGGTCAAACATCCATTAAAAAGCAGGCATTGAGGAGGAAGTTTCCGAACCAACATGGCTAGCTTGTTGGCCAAGAGTCTCTATACCTTGTTAGGATGTACGAGGTTTGACTCTTCTCACCTTTTGTTTGAGTGATTTTTCCGTTATATTTGTTTGGAGTTTTCTGGTATTTGTTTGGTTTGATGAGGTTGTTGTATGATTGTGGCTACATGTTTGACTTTATTTTTCCAGTTTGATGTAATTTTCTTGTTATTTATCTCCTCCTACCTATTGACCAAAAATAAAGAGTTTCTTTTGCTATTGATTTGATGTGAAATGCTAGGTTATATAAAAGCAGCTGGCTTGAATTAGTCTTGGCAATATTTTTTATTTGTAAAATATTTCAAAATTGAAAGCTTCAAAAAAATTTGCTTCAAATTCAATTATTGAATTCATCAAAATAAGATTTTCAGAGCATATGAGAGGGTTTGATCCTTTTAATGCCAACATAGCAAGATAGGAATAAATCACCTTATGATTATTATTATTGTGATTGGTTATATATGTCTTTTTTTTGCCTACTAGTATAGAATAAAATATAGTCAATAGAAAATTAAAGCTAATTAAAAGTGAGGAGTCAAAGACCTGGATTAACCCCCCAGTTTGATTACGGAAATAAGGAAAATATTAAACATAAATATTTTCTTTATACAAAAAAAAAAAAAAAAACTCGTACAAAATCTCGTAGGGTGTCATTTTTTTACAATCATGAACCGCAAAATGATAGATTTTCTATTTTTCAATGGATGAATATTATTTTATATATATAAAAAATTCAATATATAAATTATTATTATTTTTTGTTTGTACAAGGTTGCCGTACAAATGCTGCCCTTTGGCTCCATCCATGCCATGTCATGACTTAGCTTTGTCCGTACAAAATTCCAAAAGGGGGAACCCTGTATAAACCCTGCTGTGAAGTTGAACTGGAGAAAAGAATTCTTTCGAAAACTACAAAATCTTTTGATACCGAATTTTGATTTTGCATGCAAATGAAATGTACCATGTGAGGTCATTGTGTGTAGGATTGTAAATGAACTGAGCCGTTAATGAATAATACAGCTTAGCTTGTTTAAAACTTATTTGAGTTTGACTTATTTACTGAATAAACAATTTCAAATCAAATTTTTAGACTTGGTTTAGTATTGAGCCGAGATTGAGTAGACTCAAACTCAACTCGATTAAGCTTGTGAATAGTTACATAAATTAATATTTATTTTTAATGATATATCAAATATGTTCTATTTGTCTATTTGTGTTTGGTGTTTGTACAAATTTAAATATTTGATTGATAAAATTTATTAATAACATGTTTTTTTTGGGTGCTCATAATGTTTTCTTTTTTCTCTTAATGTGCATTAGAGTTTAGTGTTCTTTTTTCTTTTTTTTTTTTAAAAAAAATTCTTTTCGAACTTGAGTTTGACTCTTTTATATAATTAAGTTGACTCGAACTAAACTCAAGCCTAAGCTCGGGTTTTTTAAGTTTGTTGTGCTCATCTTGAGTTTGACAAATTTTTAACAAGCCTTCTTTAAAATATGTGTCGATTCGATTGACTCGACTCGGTTCACTCAGCCAAGAAACGTGTTGTGAGGTTGTTCATACCAATGCTTCCTTGTCAGGTTCTGTAGATATGAACATTGAACCCTAAGAGAGGTTTTGTTTGGGAGTCTGTAAAAGATATGGATGTTCTTTGGGGGCTCAAAATCTTGGCAGCTAGCAGAGTCTTTGTATTGACAGAACAAACAATCATTTTACTAGTGATGATGAAATTGTTTTTGAGGTTGGTTTTTGACGAGGTTAGTGTGTTCGGTTCTGTTTGGTGCAAGTTAGGATATGTTTTTCAGAATTTGTTAGTGTTTGGTGCAATTTTGCTAATATTTAAAAAAGGTAAAAAAAAAACTTAAAGCCGAGTAGGGATTGTTTTTAGCTTTTGCCTTTAGATTTGTAAACCAACAAATTATAGTAATTTAGCTATCTATTGTTTTACAAAATAAAGAAAAAAAAATGCCTTTAATGTATATTGGTTTTTGTTTTTGGACAACTACAAAAGAAATCCAAAGATTTGAGTCTTTTAACAAAATAAATTATGAGTTTCCAATTTTATCAATTTAAACTCTAATCTTTTGATTTGTTTTTAATCTAAACCATTAATTTATTTTTATTAACTAAAATTAATGAAAAAAAAGTATTTTAGTCATTAAACTCAATATAAGTATACATAAAACGTCTAAAATATTGTTTTTATTTGAGTTTAAAGGCTAAAATATCATTTTTGTAGTTGTTTTTACTTAATAAAAATAGACAAATGATTTAGATTGAAAACAAATTAAAAGTTTAAGGTTTAAATTGACAAAATTAAAAGTTTAGGATTTATTTTGATATAATTGTCCCTTTTGTTATTTTTTATTGCAATGCATTAATTTATAGTTTAAATTTGGTTTCTACTGAACCCTGCCCCAGTTTTGATATGTAATTGTGTAACCTCTTGAATAAGAGATGTCAAATGGGTTTCTCACTTGCGAGGAAATCTTCTAGACCGAACTATTACTAAGAACTATAGGTGACAAATGGATTTTCAATGTTATGGTCCCAGACTTATCAGCTTATATTTTTTTAATGTTATATTTGTGTGGTAGAGGTTGAATTGATGTAGTGTATGACCTACTTATAAATGAATTTGAGCCATAGATTGATGTTTCTGGACAAAATTCGGGATAAAAAATCCAAATTCATAGTATTACTGAAAATGGATAGGTATAGGGCTCAACATGGTTCGGACTAAATCACTATTTACAGTTTTATAAAATTTAGAATCAAACTAAATTATGAAGATTATGGAACTGAAGGTACTATTTGTGCAATGATCCAATTTTTTTTTTATATTTAAAATAGTCAGTGTATAAATTAATTGAGTAATATTTGGATTGAAGTGTTGTGTAAAGTTATGTGCGAAAATGGTTTAATTTTGTAATCATTTTTTTTTAAAATATAATTTTCAATCTCAGAAATTATGAAAATTTTATTATATTATTCCCATATGAGTATAGCACGTTGGATAAAAATTTCAAAAATAAATTGATGAGTATTTATTTTATAAAAAATTTGCAGACTGATTGATGTTCAATTTAATTTATAGTGGACTTTGAAATTAAGTTTTGGGTGTTTAGACCATGATTTGAGATAAATTTGTTGGGTCTATTTTGGTATATAATTGGACCATGTTTGGCTTATAGGTGGGGTTTATGACTTAAATTTAATTTAAATTGAATTTGTTTAATGACTCATGTTTAACTGTTTGGTCATTTTTAATTAGGTGATTGGTAATAACTATCTTGGGAGTCATTATTTATTATGTAAGATTATAATAAATATTTGATATTTGATTTTATAGTGTGTACTATATGGTGAAAAATTATATATTTTTGTAGTGAATAAAATAGGTATATATTTTGTGGTGAGCAAAATATTATATTTTGTAGTGAAAAAAATTATATTATTTTATAATTTATGCTGTAAAATTTTGAAATATTGTTATAAAATTATATATTTAGGGAAATAAATATTTAATAGTTGATTTTATGGTGTGTACCATATGGTGAAAAATTATATATTTTTGTAGTGAATAAAATAGGTATATATTTTGTGGTGAGCAAAATATTATATTTTGTAGTGAAAAAAATTATATTATTTTATAATTTATGCAGTAAAATTTTGAAATATTATTATAAAATTATATATTTAGGGAAAACAAACCTTGGAAGCAAACCCACGTGGGTTGCCTCCCACTTTTTCCATCTTTTCAATCCCTTTCCCATTCATTTATTTTCGGCTTGGAGCAGAGAGCTCCTCCTTCTCTCTCTCCCTTCTTCCCTCTCTGTCTCTGTCTCTCTCCTCCTATTTTTTCTCCATTATTGGCTGAAACTTTAAGTTTAGAGTGAGAGTCTTTAGAGGGAGATTTTACAAAAATGTTGTAAATGAAAGTCGGAAAGCTCGTTGTGATCTTCCCAATGGTGGTCTCGGATCCATGATCGGGCGATATTTACATTTTCAGATTTGCTTTTCTTCATATTTGAGGTTGGCACTTTCTGCATATCATTACATTAAAACTATGTTAGGGTTATTTTGAAAAAAATATGTCATTTTAAGAGGTATTGCATATATATATATATTTCAGATTTTTGTTTGGTAATTTTTGAAAGAAAAATTATGTTGAAATGTTAAGAATGTTGGCATTTTGAGATTGATTTGAAAAATCATTTTTGTGTTGATAATTTTGTAAAAAAAAAATTCCGAAAATAAAATTTAAAAGTTGTAGGAATTGTAACTACATCATATTATGATTAGATGATTTATTTTGAGAAATATAAAGTTGAAATATATATTTTTTTATCTTTGATTTGGAATTTATTTTTGAGAAAAATAAATTGATATTGAGGAATATTGTGTAGATTGTTAAGTTGGGATTATACAGTTGTTTTGAGATTAAAAAACTTTAGAAGTGTTATATTCATGAAACTTTATGGAAGGTGTTATGTTGATGATTAAGTTGTGTTCATTTTTTTTTTTTTGTGAAAATGGAAAATGTGAAATGTGGACTTTTGAACTCATAACCTTGAAAATGTTACTCTTGGGCATATTTTATAATTTTAAGGTAAATATCATGTCGATTAAGTAATTTTAGAAAAAGTTGTGAAATTGTTGTTTGTAGAGATTTAGGAAAAATTGGGTAGACATGAAATGTGAGTGTATTTGAGAGATGAGACATGTGAGGTTAAGTTGGGTGTTATTAATTTGGAAGATGGTGAAAATAATGGACTAAATAATTTGATGAATTAAATTAGTTTAGTTAATATTTTAAATCCTTCGTAAGTAAAGGGGCATTATTGGGTTTAATTCATAACTTCAATATTATGAGATTAAAAGTGACGAAGTTGACCAAGTATGACATTGGAGAAATAAGCGAGATTAAGATGATGTGGTATGGTATTGGGTTCCTAGTTTTACAAGTTGAGTAATGTTATAATAATAATTTCACACTTCAAAATTTTTATGAGATATTTAAATTGTTTCGTGGTTTTTGACAAGAAAAGAATAGAATGTGATTTTTAGCTTATTTGGAGCAAATGGATGAATTGGATTAAAACAAAAATGAGTTATCGAGACTTTTATTTATTTATTTATTTATTTTCCCTTGGTTTAATTTGATGGGGGTTAATGTTGATAATTGGAAAGTGAACACTCGTGTTATAATTTATAATTATAGTCAAGAGGAGATTTTGATATAATTGATTAAGTGTTGGAATATTCACTTGTGTTTAGTGAGAATTATGATTGAAATTGAAGATCCCGATATTTCACTTGCATGAGAAAAATGCGAATTTGATTCTATTTAATGTTTGGGATAGGGATGAGTTTTGGAAAGATTGTAATTACATTTCATTGATAAAGTATGTGAATTAGAAATTGATGAAACCTTGAACCCACCTTGATGTTATATGCTATTGTTGATGATGAACCTATTATTTAAAAGTTTTGATTTTGGTAACCGGTAGAGGATTTCCATATTGGTATTTAAATGAGATTCTTGGAAAGATAAGAAAATGTTTGATTTTGGAAGTTGTTTTATATAAAGAATATTGTTCAATTGTCTTGAAGAGACTAAGTTGGAAGTTGTTGATTTACATGTGGTAAATACATGAACATTGACATTATTATATTTTCTCTTGGGATTGTATCATGGTATTACATTGATAAAGATATGAAAATTGATCACAATGGAACATTGTATGGAACATTGTGTGGTGGAATTGAAATTGGAACTATTCTAATGCATTGTTACATATTGCATTGCCATTCCATTTCATTGTTATTATGGATTTCGAATTGCAATTGAAAACTATTGTTTTGAGAAGTGAATTGTTTTTGGGAAATAAGATCATTTGGATTTGTTTTGGGTAAATACGTTGGTAAGTTCGGATAAGGAGTGTAGTTTGATGTTGGCTAAGTTGGCCTGAGTGTCCAGGGTGAAAAACCGAAAACACGAGCGGAGGAGGTACCACTGCCTTTCTGGTGAGAGACCAATAAAGTGGGAATTTAGTAGTGCTCGATATGCCTACTTACAGACACCAGCCTAGGGATTACCTGAGTCGTATTTACTTCTTTAAAATTTTATTGAAATGGTTGGATTAACGTGTTTTCAAATTGGCATTGTGCACGAGATTTTCAAAAGATGAGAAAAATATTTTGAGCATGACATAGCATATGCATTCATCTCATAAGACCGTATACAAATTTATTTGATACTTTGTTAGATGTCATTATGAATGCTTTAATTATTTGATTCAATTGGCAATGGGATAATTAAATGAATTGGGAAAGGATGTCCTATTACTGCTGAAGCATGTTTATTTATTTAAGTTAACTAGTTGTGGTTAATTAAATAAATTGGATTTAGGAGATTATGTAATAAAGTCCTATGGTTTAACATGATATGATTTCACGTATATGTATGAGTATCTTTGTACCCGCATATCTTCTAATGTTTTAATATGAGATTGTTTGGTGAGCTGGTGGTTGCTTACCCCCTGCCTGTACATGTGTACAGGGAATGCTTTTCAGATTTGAAGATCAAACAATGAGTTTTATCATTTCATAAGTGTAATGTATTGATAGATTGTACTACTTCATTTGTTTGTTTGGCTAAATGCTATCTTTTTGTAAGGAGTGGTGTTCTTTTTTTTATTCTAAGCCTCTGGGCAATTCTTTTATTTGTATGTAAATGTCCTTGCTGTATAACGAGAGGGAACATGTATATTTAATTATTCATCTTTTCATCCAAGGATGAGTTGTCATTTGTAAATGGACTTAATTAATGAATATTGATAATGTTATCCGAGTAATAAAATACAGGGTGTGACAACTTGGTATCAGAGCGAACCGAGTTTGAATACCTTGGCTCGTGGGAAGTGGTTTTGACCATAGTTGGGTTTACCTTGGGATTGTGAACGACTTTTGCATTTTATGTGATAATATGCTTATGTGCTAAGATGTTATATGTTTATGTGGGCATGGGGTTGAGTCTCGAAGATGTTGTGTCGGGTCCATAAATTTTCTTAGAAATCTCATTGGAAATGCGGCTGATCAACGTGATTTCTAATAGGAGGTCTAAAAGGATTTTGGCACGCCCCTACTTTTTATTACTTGGATTACTATTACCAAACCATTATTATACATTCAATTTCAGAGTTAGCATACAGAAGCTCATTATATTTACAAGGAATACATAAGTAAGAATTCTCTCATTCGAATATAAGAATGAATGCAACATATACATAACTAAATAAAGTGCCCGCAGGCTTACATCATTTAAATTAAGAGGAAGGGTTTAACCCTTTTACATTAATGGCATACCGCCTATACATAAAAAGGTCCCGTGACCAACAATTAAGAAAGATCCACGATCTTGTAGCACATCTCGATATTCACCTGAAAAAGATTTAACAACGTAGGATGAACATAAAGTCTAGTAGGGATCTCAACATGATCCTCAACAATAACAACTTACAGATAGCTATGATCATGAATGCTAACCAAATATACATACATAAATACTTATCTAAAAAAAAAGACGTTCAATTATTTCAACAACACCAAGGTTCTTTTTTTTTTTTTTTTACTACCCATTTCCCATTAAACAATTATTATACAATGACCACATTTTCCATTTGTGACAAAACACCACATAATAGCCATTTTATTTCTTTTGAAAGCATGTTCACCAAGTCCGATTTCTTCACATTATTAATAACCCGATACAAAACCCAGGTCCTTTTTCCACACGTTCATCGTATTCTCAATCTTAAGTTCAAATTTAATGAGACATTTCCAACAAATAGTTCATGGTAAGAATTCCCCTCAACCACTCTCTAGCATGTTCAAATACACACAGGCACATCTACACATCACTTAAGACAATTCAACCTCACCGAATCATGATCATCATAACACGTAACACATAACCAAATAAGACAACAACAATAAATAATCTCCGCTCTACTTGTCAAAAGTACAGTAAGCCAATGATACATCTTTCCACAATAACATGCCAATTTACCAGACACCAGCTGGAAGGGAATGGTACCTCTGCTAATTTTCCATGCGCTAGCTGTAAGGAAATGGTACCTTTGATTCTTAGTGCAGCACACATAGCCAATTCTCTAGGTGCTAGCTGGAAGGAAATGGTACCTCTGATTCTCAGCGCAGCCAATTCTCCAGGCGCTAGCTGGAAGGGAATAGTACCTGTGATTCTCAGCGCAACACACGTAACCAACCATCAAAGCATGAATAGATACAACCAACAAGTGTAATGCATACACACAACTAATCAACACAACAATGTCATCCTCCACTGATGACTAAGAACAAAACCTCTAAGCAAACGTATTCGACTTACACATTAACAATAATCCAACTTTCATAAAACTTTGGATCCAATCTCAAGTAAAGTGTTAGCGTCTCATTCCTTCCATTCCAAAACCAATTACCTTATTCACCCATGTTAATATTCTCCACCTTATGCCTCAATCCAATTTATTTCATTCCACAATAATATGACCAATTCAATTTCCTTCATTTTCAATGGGGGAATTTCTATCAAGGGTGACAAGTTATAATTTACTTTATTTCCATTTAATGGTGGTGTAAATCAATAATATTTTAATCTCATGATTTAATTCCCTTTTTGACCATTAACGACTTATCGAATCACCACATTTAAGTGTAATCAATCCAACACAAGTTTAAGTACCGAAATTTATGAAAACCCGGTTTAATCACAAGTTATTATCAATCCAATAATCAAATTTCTTAATTCAAAGCACGATAAATTCATCACTTAATTCCCTATATTCATGACATGCTTAACCCAAAATTAAAACCCTTTTTATCAATGAGCATTATTATTAAAAATAAGGGCTTTATTTCTCTAATCATGAATATAGTGAATCACCCCCAAATTTAACCCAACATCAATCCATCTCATGAAATTTCAATCTTAACACCCAAATATTATGCCCTCTATCATGATTTTCGAAAATAAATCCACACCACATGGTTTTTATGCAATAAGAACCTACCACATGTCTATCTATAATAGAGGTATTGAAAAGAATCAAGGAAATCCCTACCTCAAGAGAGAAGAGGTGAAAAAGCTCAAAAATCAACCTCGCCGGAATACGATCTCCACCGGTCAAAACGAAGCCCTTGACACGCTCATCATTTGGTATAAGGGAGTAGCACCAAAATCTCAATGGATTTCTTGAGATCAAAGAAGATACAAGATTTTGAGGGTTTGGGTAGAGAGAGATGAGAGAAAAAGAGAGAAAATATTGTAGAGAGAGAGTGATATAATTTGAAATGGGAGGAAAAGGAGCAAAAGTGCAAAATATAGTTGAAAAGCACAAAAAATTAGGCTGAAACGCGCTTGGCCGCATGTGCGGCGCTCACTCCCGCACGTGTGGACTGCCTCTCCCGCACATGCGACTATCACCCCCGCACGTGCGGTCTCTCCCGCACCTCCCCTCACGCACCTGCCTTTTAAGCAGTGTGCACATGGCCCCTCCTCCCAGCTTCCTGCACATGCGGCCTAATCTCTCGCATGTGCGGTCCAAGGCCCCGCACGTGCGGCCCTGGCCCTCCAGTCCCGAAAAATCTCAGTTTCTTCCCCGATCCTCCGAAACGAATAAAAACTCTGATTCGAAACAACCACAACAGAAAATATTTAAGAAAGAAATTTCCAACACAACTCACCCGACATCTTAACAACGATAATTCTAACATAATTCAAAAGAGTAAAGCAAAATGTGCACAGGTCATCACAGATTTCTAGAACGACTAACCATCTTCATAGTGGCAACTCGTTATTTGTTATGTGGTTATGTGATTTTATACTACTTGGTGTGCATATGTTGAGTTTCGTATTAGAACATGAGAATGTATCTCGGTGGGAGGTGTTCTTGCTAAATGTTATGAATGGTATATATATGACCTTGCATGATTGTGAAATTGTTCTAGTCAGTTGATTATATGTGGAGTTGTTCTTGAAAGCTTGGGTTGTATACTCTTGTGTGTTTTTGGGAAGAGGTGTGGCCTCGACATGATAAAGATTGTGAATAGTGGTAAGGGGTGTATTTTCCAAAAGAGATTGACTGTTTGGAGATTTGGTTGTAAAATTTATAAAGTGCAAACTAAGTAAGGTTTAAAGATGAGATTTGAAATGGACAATATTCATAATTGTTGTTGCCTTTATTTGTTTAATTGTTTTGTCCTTGGGTGTCAAGGGAGGGAGTGTCCAACACTCGTTGGTAATAGAATTATCTTAAAGGGAATGAGTTGTGTTTTGAGCCATGGTTGTATTTTCCTTTGGGGACATCTTGTGTCTAGTTGGTTAGTCTAGTGATTTCCAAATAGAGTCTTGGAATGACTCTACAAGTATGATAGTTTGGCAGTATAATCTAGATTTTTGATTGTTTTGGCCGTGTAATTTGGGTAGCTTCGAGAACTAGACTCTCTTTTTCTTGCAATTGGGTGAGTTGGAATGAAATATAAACACCACAAACTTCTCTGCAAGGCACAATTCGGGTTGGATTCGCATCTAAATATTTATAGCCTCATTGAAATAAAAGAATGAATAAAATTACAACTGAAAGGAGTTTTGTCAAACGAGATTGCCAAGAATAAAAACCTAACACAGAGAAAGAAAGAAAGATAAAAAAAACTAAGTAAAATCTAGTTACATCTTCTTTCGTGGAAAGAATGATTGCATTTAGCATATGTTTGAATTGGATAATCCTTTGTGATATGTTTAAAGGCGAACATATTGAAATAGGAAGAAGAACATTAATTGATGCAGGGAAATGCATGCAAGTTATGTCATTTGTGAGTTTGATTATTATAAATGGCATAACTCAATACCATGGCAGATATAGGTATAAAAAAAAATTGAGTTATAACCAAACATTACATGAAGTATAACCAAACAATTCTTGGATCATAAGTAAATAATGTCATAATCAACATCATAATGTGTCATAACTAACAACACTATAGATCATAACAAATGACACAAAAATCGTAACTAAAAGTGCATATAGTACAGTACCATAAAATTTCCGTGGTTAGCATTCCTCAAAAATAAAGTTAATTGGTAAAAACAAGAAGAACTAACATTTTGTGCAATAACATTTTTTTTGTGTGTGTGTGTGTATCAATAGGATTTGTATGCATAAACCTTTCCTCTAAAGAGTTGATAATCTGTGATTGTTAATACCTGACAACATTGTTAATTGTCATCGTCGTCAAAGTTGTCAGAGCGAAGGTGAAAAGGCAATGTGAAACTCAAGATCCTCAGAGTCAACTCCATCCTCATTGCCTATGTAGTAATTAAAGAGAAACTAATGTTAATATTTGGCAATGTTGAAGTAAAAATCAATTTGTTTGTAAAATAATGAACCTAGCCACATCTTCTATACTGTAAACAATTGGCGGTGGCATGAAGCATATTAGAAGCAGTGGAGGAGCCAAAATTTTGGTTCAGAGGGGGCAATAGTAAAGTAAAATATTATGCCTATAATAGTGTTATCTAGGGGTGCTCACAGATCGATTTTTGACGGTTCGATTTGTGGTTTGGACCCGCTCACATGTCTATGGTTTGGGAAAAATTGAACTCGCAACCGCCAACAATGCGGGTTGCGATTTGTGTGAATAAGATTTGCGAATGTGCAGGCCGTTGCGGGCGGTTTGCGGATTGAGCTTTTTTCTTTAAAAATTTATTTTTTGGCTTGTTTTTTCCCATTTTTAAATATTTTGATTACGGGAGATTCAACACTATCCTCTATTAAAACTGGATTACAAAAAATTAGAACGAAAATTAAAATAAAAACTAACATAGAAAAAAAATCGCATAACTAGATTTGCAAAAAAATTGAAAAAAATTCCAATTGAAAAATAAGTATTTCAGACAAGGCAGTGTGTGATATTATTATAATGTTATAATGTTAGAGCCTACATGTTTGATAATCATATTAAAGTGAGTGAGAGAAGAGAAGATTGGAGTTACATACTTACAAAACTTACAAGAAATTCTAATGGTCCAGATTTAAAAAATAAAATAAAATTGTATATAAATGTGGGTGGGTGGGTGCAAGTGCAGGTAAAACCTGTGACTTGCCCACAACCCGCAAAATAGGAAAATCCTAAACTGCATCCGACCCTAACAATTTTGCGAAACCACCCAAATAGGCGTGGGTGGTTCGGATTGGGATGTTTTCGCTGGTCAGATAACCCTATGCCTAGCCCTAGTGTTACCCACCCCGCTGCGCTTTGACCCTAATAAACTTAACCCTCATTTCTAATCATGACATTAACTTAGACTGTAATGATCGTCTCCAAACAAAATAAACTATTTTATTGAGAGACTTCATCAAAAAAATAAATAATCATTCTACATATTTGTATATATATATATATATTTGTCACAAAAGGGGGAAAAAATACCAATAAGAACTAACTAGCAAATATTATAAAAAATAATAGAAAACAAACATTTAAAGATAGACTTTATAACATCATAAAGGTGATTTCTGTCATAAAATAAACATCTGAATAGTGCAAATTATAAGAACTATTTTAAAATAAAGAAAAAAAGAGAGAGTATATAATCAAATTTAGAGGGGGCAAATTGAAAGAACTATTTATAAACCTATACTAAAACATAGATTTTAGAAAGTTGAAGAGGGGCATGTGCCCCTCTTGGGCCCATACTCCCTCCGTCCCTGATGTAAAGAGAGAAATTCTATAATTCACACAATAAAAATGATGTGTATCATATGTTTAATTATTCCGTTCAAAAGAAAAAGGGCAAACTTCACTTTATCCCTTGTAGTTTGGGTTATATGCAGTTTACCCCCTTAATATTTAGAAATGACTACATAACCCCTTTGTAGTTTATGAACTGAAGCACACCATTAAACCCGTCAACGATTTAATAAAAAAAACTAAAATACCATTGTATTTTCTTCATTTGTTTGAAAGGTAAGTGAACTTTAGCCCCTTGTGTGCTTTATTCCATGTGCGATTTGCCACCTTGAAATTTGAAAATAAGCATATAACCCTCTTATGTCTGCTACATGTTTTACACTTGCTGTTAAGTTGGACGGAATATTTAACGGTACACTTTAGTCCACAAACTACGTGGGGGTTATGTGGTTATTTTCAAACGTTAGGATGTAAACTGTACATGACTCAAACCATAGGAGGTAAAGTGAAGTTTGCCCAAAACAAAATGTTTAATTATGAATTTTGTGGTCCTTAGTTATAATCAAATAGTGATGTTTGTTATGATTGAGGCATGATTCATTATAGTGTTGATTATGATTTAGTTATGACTTATTGTAATTACTATTTTGGTTATGATTGAAATTTTTTTAGTTATACCTCAAATGATATTTGGTTTATGACTTATTGTGATATTGGTTATGGCATATTGTGGTTACTATTTTAATTATGACCAGTGAGGTCTTTAGTTATGTCTTAAGTGAATTTTCGTTATGATCCATTGTTTTTTTGTTTTTATTTTAATTATGACTGAAAGTGATTTAATTATGATATTTGCAATATTAGTACCACAATTATCATAATTTGCATATAGTACACACTCTAAAAATAAGTGTGTATTGTATGACCCATCTTAAGAATATATGTATACTATTAATTCTTAAATACAAAGTTCATTGCAGCTAACATCATTTGTATCTCAAACATGGGATAGGGTGTGTATCATATGCATCTTTTTATATATTTTTTTCGTATATATTATGACAATTTGTGACAATTGTTACGTAATTTTCTGATAGAATTACGAGAGTTTATTATTAAAAAATAAAGTTAAACATTACAAAAATGCCTAATTTTATTTTTGAATCACAAATTATTGTAATTTTATTAAAATATTACATAATATTTACTATAAAAATATATTTAAAAAAATACTTGCACCACCTCCGGAAGGGATTTCCCTTATTGTTGGACACTAATAATTATATGAACCCCACTTAACTACGCCGAATTTACCTATAATGAGAATGTGTAGTTGAGATTGAATTTGTGTAGTGTGTGATTCATATGTAAAATAAATTTGAACCATAAAATGATAAATCTAAATAGTTAAATCTAAATTTATAGTATTACTGTGTTGGACACACCATGGTTGTTAGTGAGGTAGCTGTGTGGTTAGGTTTCGTACCTTGTTTCACCCTTTTGACTGACTAGTATGTGCCTTGTGAAAATATTTTTAGAAGTTAATTTTATTTTTCACTTTTATAATTTGACTCAAATTTTATTTTGGTCCCTACATTTTAATTCTAGTTTCAATTTGATTCTCTCATCCAAATTTTCGTTAAATTTTTTTCTATGTATAGATTTCAAATCATTAATTTTAACTTCCAACTTGAATAGAAGGACCAAACTAAAACTAGATTTAAAGTATAGAGATCAAATTGTTCAATTTGAAATCATAGGGACCAAAGTGGAACTTGGGTTAAACTATAAGAGTTAAAAGTGCAATTAACCCTAATCTAATTACTAATTTGCTAATTTCCTAACTTTGTCCAAAAATAAAATAAAAATAACAATTAAAAAATAAATAAATATTATCATTTAAGCACCTAATTGTAATTTTGCCTAAAGTTTAACCATAGTCATTAGTAATGTGGTAAAATATTTGGAATTCCAAACATTGTCCAATTATCATTGGACATGCCATAAGTTTGTGTTCCTTTATCTTATGTTTGGTTCATTGGAATTAAATGAAACAGAATGGTCATTCCATTAGAAAATATATTTTCATATTTGGTGTACTAAAAATAAAATATAAAATATATTATAAATAGAATTATCATTTACTATTGTAAAAGAATTATCATTTCATAAAGATGTTAAGAAATGATTATTCCATTTTTATCTTTTATTTCAGTGCATCACATACTGCCTTATCATAACTACTTTTTTCTTAGCCGTAAGATGTATAGCTAAAAAATTGAGCAGTGAAGTTGCCTTCTTGAGTTCGTCAAAAACTTGCAAATATATAATTAGAGTTTTACCTGGAAATTTGGGGCAGAAGCTTACATCGGATGTTCTTGCTGGAATTTTAGTATTATTTACATCCGGGCCAAAACACACGAGACTTGGAAGATTTGAAAGGTTGACAAAGTTAATTTCTCGCGAAAAGATTTCTTCTTCGTTTTCCCTGGTGACAATCTTATCTACCTTCTCGCAATGTTCAACTGTTAGATCTTCTAGATTCACAAGGACGTTGGCCATGGAAATTGTGAATATATATCTCAGGTTGTCACAGTGCTCCACTGCCAGAAATCTTAGATTTTCGAAACAATGAGTTTGTTGGGAAATATTCTTCCATATGTGCGTCAACTTGGGCAAATACTTCAATTTCAATTCGCTTAACTGAGTGATTAATGTTTCTTTCTCAGCAACATCAGCACATACACCCTCTTGGAGATCAAATATCATTTCCAGTGAATCACACCACCATACTTTTAGCCCTTGTATATTGTGCAGCCTTTGCATTAACTTGGATGAGACAACACTTGATAATTTTTCACAACACTGGACCCGCATGAATCTTACTTTGTCAAGGCATCCGACTTCAAGTTGGTTGTGCCATATCTCAGTTGGCTCATCTATTCCTGTGACATCAAGTATGCCCTTGGTGCTTAAACTAAACTGCAATTGTTATCACCTCAACTGTGTTAGTGACATATTTACTAATCCATTGTTTGGTTAAAAAATAAGATCGGATTAATAGTCAAATACACATCATTTCTAACAAAATAGTTAAGGGACTAATTATTTAGGACTAACAGTTCATTGTATTGTAATCCACTCCTATCTAGTCCGTTCAAACAAATACTCCCTTAGTGTTAACACCATTTATTTGGGAGTTGGGAACAATTGACAAAAGAATAATAATATACAAATAGAAAAAACATATAACATTTGTATACAGACGGATGTGGTTGCAGTAAGACTTATCCTTTTAAAATCATGTGCCCATTAAAATGACATTTAATTACAAAAAATACCACCATTAAATCATTCTAGAAAAAAATTAGGGAAAATATCATATTAGTAGAGTTTTGAAAAAAAATTTAACAATTAGTGAGAAACTTTATAAAATTAATAATCAAAATTGTAAATTACTTTTCCACGGACTTGTATTTTTTGTCCTTCTGACATCCACAGGGATGTAATAAGACCATCTCCAACGCTTCACCAAACCTGACATCAGATTTGAAATTTGGTGAAAAAGTCACTTTTTGCAGCTCCAATGGTTTCATCAAATTGGTATCAAAACGAGAATTCACCAAATTTTTCATCAAAGTGAGAACAAGGGGAAGATTTCACCAATTTACTGTGCGTGACCATTGAGGGAGACCAACCGGTCAACCAGCCGGTTGACCAACCAGTCGACCGGTTCCCTTACAAATAAGTTGGTTCAAACAGGTCAAAAGGTTCAAAGAGGTAAAAAAAAATAAAATAAAATACACTAACCAGTCGACCTGCCGGTCGATTGGTCGACCCCTACTTTGATGACAACCATTGGAGCAGTCTGTATCAAATTGAGAAAATAGTCTTTTTTTTAAGCAGATTTAGTGAAAAATTTGGTGAACCCTTGGAGATGCTCTAACCCCAAAAAATTATGTCTAATTTTTTATTTTTATTTTTATAGAATGGATTAATTTTCTTGACAAAATCTTTGACCGCATCAATGCTAAAGAGTTTATTCTCCTTGATTTTGTGTACCCAACAATTCTTTCCTTTTCAAACATTTAGAGGTTTATCCTTAGTTTAATGGATATTGGAAATATTTTCTTTGAAAGAATGGGTTGTTAATGTTGAATACTATAATTTTAAGACAACTCACTTACCTTTCTATCCGAGAGATGGTGTTGAGCTGAGTTAAAAAATTCCACTTCTCGAACATTGCTCTCTTGTAGCTCTAGCATGCGTTGCAATGCTGAAGGAAATGCCCTCATGTTGGGACAGTTGATTACTTTTATCTTCTTGAAGAACGATCCTTCAAATGTGTAAGCTTGGGGACATAAACTCTTGAGGTTTGGCAGATGACAGAGTTTGAGACTATTTAGTCGAGGGAACATGATTATATTTGTTACGACTTCATCATCTACTTTTGGTTCCTCATTAACAATCGCTTCCAACACACCACATTCAGTCACAGTTATTTCTTGTAGTTTCCCAAGAAGTCTGGCATGAGAAGATGAGAATATATATCTCAAGCTGCTACAACCCACTACTGTCAATGATGTCAGGTTCTGAAAGCTTGGAATTCTTAGTAAGTTGTTCTTCCAAACATGTGTCAACTTTGGTAGATAAAGTAGGACCAATTTTGTTAATGAAGGGAGTACGATATCTAGATAGCCTTCCCTAACAATTATTCCTTCAAGATCAAATGCTACTTCCACAGATTGACACCACCCCACCATAAGTCGTTCAACACTCTGCATGCCCTCAATCACATTGGATGGAAAAAGAATATGCGATAGCTTACGACACTGCCAAATAATCATGTTGCCCACTTTAAGTTGAAGTTCCCTAGGCCATATCTCTATCACGTTATCCATTCCAACGATCGCCAATTTCTCAATGGTAATTAATTTAACCTACAAAGTTCATTCACAGGGTTACAAATATAGTTAAACACAACATATTTTATTTCCATTAAAAAAAATCTATTAAATATCATTCATTTAATGAGAAAATAACATAGAAGAATTTTTGATTCTGTTTGTGTTGAGTGTGGTTTAGATAATGAAGTTGCTAACCACTTGGTCATGATCTTAAGTGAATTTCATTGTTTTTAAAATTAAAATTATTTTCTTCAAAAACTATAAAATTGGAGTATTGCTCTATACAATTTTAAAAATTAGACCCACTTTTTAAGTTCAATGACGTGTCAATCAATTAAAATATCTAAGGCAACATTCTCTCTCATATCTTCTCTAATTATCAACCAATCATATTATTTACATATCATTGGATCTAAAAAATGAGTCTAAAAAGTGGACTTGTATATCGTTTTTCATAAAATTATACATGTTTTCTAATGCAAGCTCACTATTCTTGAAAATCATTGATTTTGTCATTTCATAGCAAGATAAGGTTAACAAGAAAAAATAGAATATTTTTTTGAGTTTAATAAAATATTAGCCTCCAAACACGTTTTACAATGTAAATAAGATTTTTGACAATTTAAGTAAATATGAGCAACTAAAATGATTGACTGGGATCCTTGTTTGTTGTTTTTTTGTGTTTTGTTTTTCCTTTGATTGGTCCCTCTCCAATTCTTGGGTCAAGTGCTAGCATATGATTGCGCTTACTTTTTGGTACCAATCTAGTTGGAATCATTGAGTCTAGTTATGATACATTGTGCACTTTCCTCCTTTGTTGATGCAAGTTATAGTTGGAATTTTACTTCTTCATCAATAAAGTCTTTTCTTTGTTGATTCAAAAAAAATAAAAATATATATATATATATATATATTAATATTGTAATTAAGTTTTACCACAGTAGAATATTTTTATTGATGGCTTTCTTGGCGACCACTCTTACTTGGTGACCAATCTTCCTTGCTTATATATAGGCCTCTCATTGTATTGTAAAAAGACACATTATTGAATACACTTTTGGGTAAATTATGCAATTGGTCCCTGTAGTTTACACGATGTCTCAATTTGGTCCCTATTGTTTTAATTTGCTCAATTTTTCCCTTTAATTTAACGGATTGTGTCATATTGGTCCAATAAATAACGGCAGTTAGGTTTGGTGGACAGAAACTTAAACGATGTGTCAATTTGGCCCTGTTGTTTTAATTTACTCGATTTTGACAAGGATCAAATTGATACATCGTGAAAACTACATGGACCAAATTAACACATCGTTTGAGTTTCTGTCCACCAAACCTAACGGTTGTTATTTATTGGACCAATATGACACAATCTATTAAATTAAGAGGCAAAATCAAGCAAATTAAAACAATAGGGACCAAATTGACACATCGTGTAAACTATAGGGCCCATTTGCATAATTTACCCTACACTTTTCTATTTCTTTAATACTGTTAACATGGTATCAAAGTTATATGTGAAGCTCTAGGTGTTCTTCGCCTTACTGGAGGGTGACAACCTTGCCTTGGCTGCTCGCCGGATCTCAGTCCTATCTGTTGTCTTTGCATCCCAAACCCCTCAGTCCTTGAACCTGAGTATCTTATTCGCTGGACCAAATTGGCACATTCGTCTCTTTCTTCAACCATTGCCGCCATTACTCACCGCAGCTTCGGCCATCGCCTCCACCTCGGACGTCTGTTCCATCACACCATCTACAACTTCAGCCATCTCTGCCGTCCTTTGCCGTTGCTCAACCACCAGCCTACATTTAAGATCTTTCCTCTCCCTCTCTCGGATTTACCGGTCTCTCTAATCTACACTCCCATTTTTTTAAAAATTCTCTCTCTCTCTCTTGGGTACAATTTTTCTTCTATTCAAACAAAACAATATATTTTTCAACTCAATCACATGGGCTTGTCCCACCATTAAAATAAAAATTCCCTTCTACAATTTCTTTTTTTAGAACATGATCTCTCTCTTCCGCTCTACTAGGTCTTTCCTTCTATTTCAATTTTAAATAGGTTTCTAACTTCAAACCTATTTGAGTTTTAGGAGGGGAATCTGCCCATAACATGGGGAGCAAGGTGATACACCATGCGAACCACCCAAGCTGTCCATTGGCGCACCACCCAAGTCGCCTTCTGGCGCATTACCCAAGTAGCCCCTTGGCGTACTACCTAAGTCGCCCCTTGGCACATTCTGTCTTAAGCTACCCCTTGGCACACTCAGTTCCTACAATGGTTTGGCACGACCATAAAGTGTCATCTGGCATTCGCTCCGATCGCTCCTACAATGATCCGGCATTAGTTCTGGTTGCTCCTACAACAGTTCGGCACGACCATAAACTGTCTCCAGCAATAGTTTTGGTTGCTCCTACAACGGTCTGGCACAACCACAAACTGTCTTCCAGCATTATTATTTTTATTTTATTTTCTCTAGTTTCTCTTTCCAAACTCCAGTTGATCTCTTTGCAACCACCTTTAGTATGAGGGGGACTGTTAACGAATATTGTGTATATATATATTATATTAACTATATATATTAGATACTTTAATTAGGTTTAACCATATTAGGATATTTCTATTGTTAGCTTTCTTGGTGACCGTTCTTACTTGGTCACCACTCTTTCTTGCCTATATATAGGCCTCTCATTGTATTTTAAAGAGACATATTATTGAATACACTTTCCTATTTCTTCAATACTATTAACATTGAGAAACAATAAGGTTAACAAGAATGTTTTCTATTAAAATATCAAGCTTAGATTAATTAATTTTTGGTTAATTAATATTTTGAAAATTTGGGAAATGACAGATTAGAGGCGAACTTATAAATTTCCTCTACTTTATCTAGGGCAAACTCACCTAAAAACAAAGTAAGTTTATCATAGAGAGAGAGAGAGAGAGAGAGATCAGGGTGGCTTACGGAGGTAGAGGTAGGGCCAGCCTTGAAATTTATGAGACCTTAGGCAAACTATGAAATGAGGCCCTCTTACATATACTTTTTTAGATAAATTACAAATACATCATATGAAGTTTGCTTAAAATATGAATTGCCTATTGTGGTTTTGAAAATTACATCATGTCTCTTGAAGTTTCTAATTTCATAATACATAGTCTTTATTATTAATAAATCAACCAATTAACAGTTTTTAATAATGTCAGAAATTTATTTCAATTAATAATTCAGGTAATTTTATTATTGTATAGGAGAGCAGTTAGAAATTTTATTTTTTCAATTAATTCAGTTAAATAATTTTTTTTGACAATGAGATATTTGTAATTTTCTAAACCACAGGGGTAATCCATATTTTAAGCAAATCTCAAGGGGTATTTGTAATTTACCCTACTTTTTCTTTTAATAAAAATTTTATAGATAAAATGATAGTACTAATAATTTTTTTATTTGTTAGTAGTCACCAAAAAAGTTTACTTGCACAAATAATCGTTAAAATTATAATAAATTTACTTCCATATATTAAGATAAAAAGAAATCATTGCAAAGACTCAAAAAGATAAAAATTTGATGTTGTTATTTTATAATTTAGCAATATACAGTTTACAATTGACCCAACTATCATATTTTAGCGGCAAAATCACTAATTAAATTTGCATAATCTAATTTATTTACCAAATCTTTTTCAATAGATAATATAACTAATCCATTCAATATTTCTTGTAACATTGTTGATCAAAGGAAAGATTTATTCAATATATATATATATATTCAATTTGGCCCAACAACACATATATGAAAAAATAAAAAATTTCAATTGTAGATTGTTCGCCATTGCTACAAGAATTTTTTTTAAGTGCCCTTTAGATTGGGCCTCAATAAATAAAAAAAAATTAAGGTAAATTACAAATACATCTTTTAAAATTTTCTTAAAATATGGATTCTCCTTGTGATTTGGAAAATTATAAGTATTCTCAATTTTATTTTATTAATTAATTCTTATAATTTTATTATTGTATGAGAGAATAGTTAAGAATTTTATTTTTTCAGTTAATTTTGATAAATAAAAAATTCCGCTTAATAAAATAAAAAAAATTCAGCCCCAATGTTTTTTGGGTCTATTTGAATAATATAGTATAAGGGATTAATGAATTGGGTTATCTACTAGCCGGTCCTGTTTTTGGACTTTATTAGCCATTAGGTTCTGACTTATAGTCTTATGCATAGATAAGTCCTGACCCATCTATTATTTTTCCTTTTTTTACCCTTGAGTGTTTTATGTTGCCTTAAACAGTCTTTTGCTCTCTTCCTCCACCATTTGTGCAGACTCTCTCTCACAAAGAAGACTCATCTTTCACTACCATTTCTGTAAAGAGTTTCATCGTCGCACCACCACCGTTGCCATGGTTGTTCACCCACTATGGCCACTGTCATCGACCACTGACGCCTTTGCCGACCACCACCACCATCATTGTTCACAAACCATCTCTGCTATTCTCCTCCGTTGCCGTCAACGTCACTACGACCACCACTACGGTCGTCGTCGAACCATCACCAGCATTGCCACCATCATCTTCCACTCACTACCGTTGTCATCCATTCACTACCACCATCGATCTATAATCCATCATCACGAATCCACCACCTCATTCACCAAATACATCAACTATGACTGATCTACACTCTACATCTCTAATCTTCAATCTATTGTTGCCGATTCATCGATTTAGTTGTAGATCTACATCGATCTAGTTGTTTCAATAGTGAAATCGACTCCAAATGATTCCAAACAGTCGTATTATAACAGTTACAATTTAGACCCGACCATTTTCTTATCGTATATATGAAATTCCATATCTTTAACTGTTGTTTATAACCTCCTACTCTTATTGCTAGTTGAGTTTGGTTGTTTGGGAGTTATGATTATGTTTGAAATAGGTTGGGAGTTAGTTTTTCAAAAGAGTTGTTATGTTTTCTGCTTGTTCGCTCGAGCAATGTTTTGGTCACTCGAGCGGTCTTTAAGATCTCCCAGTATTTCTGC